ACTTCCGCGTTTATTTCTTTGTTATTAAAAAATTTAAAGATTGTTTAAAAATTGGTTAATATCATTCTAAAGTTGGCTTGTCTAGCAAGTGAAATGTTAGGCGCCATCACGGTCCGAATGTGAGAATTTCGGGTCGTGACACGCCGCCGCCGTAGGCGATTTTCGGCGACGGTTTAGAGCGGTGGTTAGAGAGATGTGTTATGGGGGTCGTCTCTACAGTTTGGGGGTGTTTCAGAGAGAGAGAAAGAGAGAGATTTGAGAGAGAGGGGTGAGACGGGAATGAGGGGGTAGGAGAGGGTTTGGACATATATATACTTAGGGGGAAGGGAATTTCGGGCCGTTGGATCTATTGAAGATCAATTGGTGCTTGAAACGACACCGTTTAGGTTTAGGCGGGATTTCAAACGGGTTAGGGGATTGGGCCAGGTAATTTTGGTCTAGATTTTGGGGATTGGGCTGTTTTTTACACTAGCCCAGTCCGATTAATTTAATTAGTCCCCTAATAAATTTAATTAATTCCAAATAATCTAATTAACTTAACTAAAAATCCTAATTAAGTACTAGGCTATCTTAATTTGTAAAATTAATTGACTATTTACCCTTATTATTTAACTAATTAATCAATCCTAAGTTATAACAAGTAAAACTACTAATTTTAACATTAAAACTAACAATGTCAAAAATAAATAATTTTTGTGATTTCCTTTTAATAATATGATTAAATTGCGCAATTAGGTGTTAAATTAAATTAAAATCCTAATAATGCAAGATGATGAAGGTTTAAATATTTTTTGTTATTTTTCCTGACATCAAAAATGAAAAAAATACAATTAAATGCAAATAATTTCAAATAATTAACAAAAATCCTAAAAACAAATCTAAAAAAAATAAATATGAATAATTTATTTATTACTTTTGTAGGAATATTTTGGTAGGGTAAAATTTACATGCTCACAGCTTCCCCTCTTTGCTCGGTAACACGAAGAGTTTTCGGGCAAAGAGAAAGTGAGCAGTCATGGACCAATTTTACCCGTTTTGATACTCCATGGGAAGCGTTTTGAAAATATTTGACTGAATCTTGCTTCAAAGGTTGCCTACATATCCTTGGCTATAAAGGAATCAGGTCAGTGTAGTTCTGGATGTTTTGGTAGCTGGGAAGACCGGAAAACTGTGATTTCACTGCTGTTGCTGCTGTTACTGCTGCTGAACTCCTTATTACACCGAAGTAAAAAATGAAGAAAACTAACTAATCCTATCAGCTACGAGTTACAAGATTCCTATCGGTAAATTTTTCGAAGCTTGGTCTTGAGTCTTGGCTGGCTCTTTATGCAGACTCTGATCTGGATCTTGATGCTTATTAGCTGCAGGTGCTGGTTCAATCTTCTTCATCTTTTTGGATCAAGATGGGACATGCAAAACTTGGGACTTCAATCTCGTCTTGAGCAGTCCATATCTTCTCCGCTTCTGTACATTGATTTTTTTTCTTTTTTTTCTTTTCTTTTATTCTGGATTGAGACGTCTTCTTTTAGTCATCTCGAACCCACTACTTTAAGGTATAACCTGCTCAGGAATCAAAACAAACGAACGAAATTTTCTGCCCCAGTTTTTACTAGAAAAATTTCGTGAGTTATTGTAACAAAATTCTATACTACTTCATTATCAAAAGCGATACAAAGACGGGAATGGTGTACTCAGAGTAAATGTAGACTAGGGAGTGAAAACTCTATGTCTAAAAGTACAATCAACAAGGGATTGAAGACCCTATATTAGGAAAAATCACCAGGTTATGCTGGTATCAACTAGGGAGTGGGACCCTATGTTGGCATTAACTAGAGAGTGGAGACCCTATGTCAAAAAGTCTTCAGGTTATGCTGGCATCAACTAGGGAGTGAAGACCCTATGTCGAAAAGTCTTTAGGTTATGCTGGCATCAACTAGGGAGTGGGACCTTACGTTGGAAAGTCACCAGGTTATGTTGGCATCAACTAGGGAGTGAGACCCTATGTTGGAAAGTCATCAGGTTATGCTGACATCAACTAGGGAGTGGAACCCTATGTTGGAAAGTCATCAGGTTATGCTAGCATCAACTAGGGAGTGATGTTGGAAAGTCATCAGGTTATGCTGGCATCAACTAGGGAGTGGGACCCTATGTTGGAAAGTCATCAGGTTATGCTGGCATCAACTAGGGAGTGGGACCCTATGTTGGAAAGTCATCAGGTTATGCTGGCATCAACTACGGAGTAGGACCCTATGTTGGAAAGTCATCAGGTTATGCTGGAATCAACTAGGGAGTGGAGACCCTATGTTGGAAAGTCATCAGGTTATGCTGGAATCAACTAGGGAGTGGAGACCCTATGTTGGAAAAGACGCAGCTGGGGATCAGAGACTGTAGTTTTGAATTATTTTCAACATCATTTCTTCTTTTCTTCCTTTATTTTTCAGAGAGTGAGTGAATGCAGGAAAGAATTTGGAGGAGACTTCCCTTTAGAAGTTGTTATTGCAAAGCTATTTCCAGACCTTGCGCGGTTTTCCTTTTGGTTGCCACTGCTTTTGCAAGACTGCTTTCGGGTTGCACCTGTTTCCTGTTTTCTTCAACAAAGAATAATTTGTCAGTTTGAAATGGTGGTTGGTTTTATGGCCTTGATTATTTTGGTCACTTGATCTCGGCCCGTCCTTTTGACGAAGATCTCAACTGCTTCCTTACTTGATGGGGATTGGTTTCATTTCTAACCCTGGAGATCTTGATTTTTCCAAAACTTTACCAGGACGGTTAATCACGCGGGACTTAACCTTCTTTAACTTTCTTTTGCCTTTACGGCAATTTGACTTTGATCCCTTTCCTTTCAGGAATTCTTGACTTTAAAGCATCAGCCATCATGGTCAGTCGAGGTTGACTCGATGCACTTGCCGAGGCTAGGCACCTTTGCATACTAGCTTGTATCAAATGAGAACCTTGTAAATTAGTCTTGCCATCCTTTCTTTGTCTTATTTTACAATAGAATTAGACCGAAAGGGATTGAAATAAAAACAAATTACGGAATGGACGAATGAATTTAGACAAGAGGTATCCCTTTAGGGAAAAAGAAAGAAAGACTTATCTAGAGTGTATGCGGACTTCAATGAACATGACATGCCTCTTGAACTGGATTCCCGATCTGTGCGAACCATCCAACTCTCAGAAATCCATCATAGCTTATACCTCAACATTTGAGAAACATTGCCCAGTATTGTGTCTATGTCAGTGACCAATTATCCTCTTTTTAGATTAGTGGTGCCCTTTGCGGGTTTTCACCAGCTAACCTCTCTCATTTTCTCTTCTCACCATCGTCTCGTAGTGCTCTTTGCGATTTTTCACTAACGAGACTCTCTCTTTTTCAATTTCTCTCATTTGGTCGCATCAAATCCAAGTCACTGTATTCTCCAATTTTTGACATCTCTACCGATTGATCGGAAGGACTTGAACAGGATTTGGGTAGAAAGAATTTGAATTGAATTACAACCTTGGAACCTTTCAGGCGAAAGCGTCGCCAAACCATTATAAATCCTGCCCCAGTTTCATCTTCGGGGTAATTTGGATTTTTATTTTAGTGTGACTAAACCCTAGAGTGAGGCTGCCTACGTATCCTTTCGGAATCAAGTCAAACGTAGTTCAAGGAAACATTTTGTTTTTATTTCGTTTTTGTTTTGATTGATTGATTTGATTTATTTATTTTTTGATAATTGAACTTTCAGGTTCCACGGAGGGTGATCAAAGAAGAGTAACCGGCTCAAAGGGTTTACAAAAAGTTGATAGTGTTTGGGTAGCGATAATGAAAGCCTTCGTCATCCCAATCGGAGAGTATTAAGACCTTGAAAGGGGTTAAACATAATCACTTTTCACCGCATCCGCATTGACAACTGTTTCGGGGTCATTTCCTTCAATGTCTCCCAAGTACAATGCCCCTTTCGGCAATAATTTTCTTATAATGTATGGACCTTTCCAATTTGGAGCAAATTTTCCTTTTGCTTCCTAGTGATGCGGGAGAATATGTTTCAGAACGAGTTGCCCCACTTCGAATCTCCTGGGATGCACTTTCTTGTTGTAGGCGCGGGCCATTCTTTCTTGGTACAACTGCCCGTGACAAACTACGGCCATCCCTTTTACATCAATCATAGTTAATTGTTCCAGTCGGGTCTTGACCCATTCATCATCCTCGATCTCAGCTTCAACAATGATTTGAAGAGAGGAAATTTCAACTTCTACAGGTATTACAGCTTCAGTGCCATAAACCAATAAGTAAGACGTGGCCCCAACCGATGTGCGCACGGTTGTGCGATATCCCAATAATGCGAATGGCAGCTTGTCATGCCATTGTCTAGAACTTTGAATCATTTTCCCGAGGATCTTCTTGATGTTTTTGTTTGCTGCTTCAACGACACTATTGGCTTTGGGTTGGTAAGGGGTAGAATTGCGATGCGTAATTTTAAACTGTTCGCATACCTCCCTCATCAAATGATTGTTCAAATTTGCAGCGTTATTCGTAATGATAGTTTTTGGAATACCAAAATGACAGATAATGTTGGAATGTACGAATTCCACCACTACTTTCTTGGTGACGGCTTTAAAAGTGACCGTTTCGACCCATTTTGTGAAGTAATCAATGGCAACCAAGATGAATCTATGCCCATTTGAGGCTTTCGGCTCGATCGGCCCAATGACATCCATACCCCAAGCAACAAACGACCAAGGTGCTGACATAAGATGCAACTCTGAAGGCAGTGCATGAATCAGGTCATCATGTATCTGACACTGATGGCACTTCCGGACAAAACTGAAGCAATCCTTTTCCATGGTCATCCAATAATAACATGCCCGCGGGATTTTCTTTGCGAGGACATATCCATTCATGTGGGGCCTGCATACTCCTGAATTCACTTTATTTAAGATATTTTCGGCTTCTTTGGCATCCACACACCTTAAAATATTCAAATCTCGAGTTCTCTTATACAACATTTCTCCGCTTAAGAAGAAACTACTGGCAAGCCTCTAATGGTTCTCATTTGGTCTCCACTGGCCTGCTCGGGGTATTCCTTTATTTTCAAGAACCTTTTGATATCATGGTACCATGGTTGAACATCTGGTTCTACTTCAACTGTATTGCAATAACCCTGTCTTTCTCGAATTTGAATCTTTAACGGGTCAATATGGACATTGCCCGGATATGGCAGCATTGCAGCTAAGGTAGCTAGTGCATCAGCTAACTCATTATGGAATCGAGGAATATACCTGAATTTAACAGATTTGAATCGTTTGTTGAGATCTTCCACATGTTGTCTATATGGGATAAGCTTGATATCTCGAGTTTCCCATTTGCCTTGTGCTTGCCGAATGATCAAATCAGAGTCTCCCATGATTAGTAATTCTTCTACATCCATGTCAATTGCCATGTTCATGCCCATGATGCAAGCTTCATATTCAGCAGTGTTATTCGTACAGAAGAACCGAAGTCGGGCCGTAACTGGATAATGCTGACCAGTGGGCAAAATCAAAATTGCCCCAATCACGACACGCATTGGTGTGCTCTGGGATTATTTCAACTGAGTTTACTTCCTCGTCCGGAAAATATGTACTTAGGGGTTGGTATTCATTATCAACCGGGTTCTCAGCTAAATAATCCTCCAAGGCTTGAGCTTTCATCGTCGTGCGGGTGACATAGACAATGTCAAACTCAGTGAGTAGGATTTGCCATTTTGCTAACCTTTCTGTAAGCATTGGTTTCTGGAATATGTACTTCAGAGGATCCATTCTGGTTATGAGATATGTGGTATAAGCCAACAAATAATGTCTAAGCTTTTGAACGACCCAAGTTAAGGCACAACAAGTTTTTTCCAGCAAAGTGTACTTGGCTTCATAACCAGTAAATTTCTTGATCAAATAGTATATGGCTTGCTCTTTCTTCCCGGTTACATCATGTTGCCCGAGGACACATCCAAAAGAATTCTACAGAACCGTCAACTATCCAGGCACAAGCGGAACCAACACCGGCAAATTTGACAAATATTCTTTGATTTAGTCAAAAGTTTCCTGACACTCATCCGTCCATTTAATCGCCGCATCTTTCTTTAGCAACTTAAATATGGGCTCACATGCGGTCATGAGCTGAGCGATGAATCTACTAATGTAATTTAACCTTCCCAGCAAACTCATGACCTCTTTCTTGGTTTTCGGAGGTGGTAGATCTCGGATAGATTTAATCTTTGTTGGATCCAACTCAATACCCCTCCGACTGACTATAAATCCCAAGAGCTTCACGGATGGAACCCCAAATGCACATTTAGTAGGGTTTAATTTTAAGTCATACTTACGTAGACGCTCAAAGAACTTTCTCAAATCTCGCATATGGCCTTCTTGTGTTCTGGATTTAATGATTACATCATCAACATACACCTCAATTTCTTGGTGCATCATGTCATGGAAGATGGCGGTCATAGCTCTCATGTAAGTTGCCCCGGTGTTTTTCAGACCGAATGGTATGACCCTGTAACAGTAAGTCCCCCATGGTGTGGTGAAAGCTGTCTTTTCTGCGTATTCTTCATCCATCAGGACTTAGTGATACCCAGCATAACAATCCACAAAAGACTGTATCTCATGTTTGGCACAATTGTCGACAAAGATGCGGATGCTTGGTAACGGGAAATTGTCATTGGGGGTTGCTTTGTTCAAATCCATGTAGTCAACACATACTCGGATCTTCCCATCCTTCTTTGGTACTGGGACTACATTGGCCAACCATGTGGTGTATCAGACTACTCGGATCACACCAGCTTTTAATTGTTTGGCAACCTCTTCTTTAATCTTATCATTGATGTCTGTTTGAATTTTCTTTGCTTTTGTTGGACAGGTGGACATCCGGGATAAGTTGGAAACTTATGTACCACTAAATCGACAGTTAGTCATGGCATATCATCGTAAGACCATGCAATCACATCTTTAAATTCAAAAAAAAAATTGAATCAATGCATCTCTAGTTTTTTCCTTAACGTAAATGCTTATCATGGTTTCTTTGATCTCTTCTGAGCTGCCCAAATTAACTGGTTCGGCTTCATTTAAGTCCGGCTTAGGCTTATTCTCAAATTGTTTCAATTCTCGATTTATTTTCCTAGAAGCCTCATCTTTATCATATTCTGGTTCTTGATTCATTATTTCACAGTTAGACAACGTTTTAGGATCTGGGCCTGAACTCCGCATGCATGTCATGTTATTTAAGTCTGCAATATTAGAACTGAAAAAAAGAAAGATAAGAAAAATAGCATAATCAGAAAGAATAACAGGAAAAGATTCATAGATGATGAAATATTTATTTCATTTCATTGAATTTGAAGATAGGAGGGTTTACATCGGAATTTAAAAAGACAACAAAATAAAACATTTGAGTTACACCCTGAAATAACTTGGAATGCAGAAAAGATGGCAAGACTGAACTACCGGGATTCCCGTCTGACAGGGAATGGAGTAGCCTTCCAATTTTGAAGCTTAGCATTTTGCCCCATGTATTGCACCTCAATAGTGCTTGAGCCTTCCCCCGGTTGGACCATGTGGACTTCGTACATCATTCGCCTCATTGCCTCACATATGTCCTCAATTTCTTCAACCGTGAAGGCCTCTTCTTCTTTTTCTATATACCTTGGCTTAGCAAATGACTTGGCAATATGCGGGACTGGCTGTGTCAGGACCCATCCATTTTTCTTACGTTTATCGGCCTATTTTTCGTCGGCACTGGTAGCTTGGAAACCTATGCCAAAGAATTTCTTGTTGGCAGCCAAGGTAACGGGTTCTGTGACGCCCTGTAAGGATACCCCGAGCCCTTTCCCGGGCTTGTACCCATGTTTGATCATCTCACTGGCGATCATAATTGACGCACTTGATAAACAGGGTTGAGGACATGGGGTTCCTTCTTCGCACCGGTCGGCGACTACGATTTCAAAGGCTTGGTAAATGATGTGTTCACTTCCCTCTCTGGCCTCCCAACAGGGGACTGACGGGTCCCTGTAGATTGACTGTTCATCTTCTCCGTGGACAACTATTTCTTGGTTTTCATGTTCGAATTTGATAATTTGATGGAGAGTAGAGGGCACAGCTCCTACGGCATAGATCCATGGTCTTCCTAAGAGAAAGTTATAAGGAATGTCTTTGTCCAGAACTTGGAATGTTACTTCAAAATCTACGGGGCCAATGGTTAGGATCAAGTCAATTTCCCCTATCGTATCCCTTTTGACATCGTCGAAAGCACGCACGCAAACATTATTTGGCATGATCCTTTTAGTCCCAATTTCCATCCTATGCAATGTTCATAGAGGGCAAATATCGACTTCGGACCCGCCGTCCAACATGACCCTCATAATATCCCTCACATTTGACAATCAAGTGAAGGGCCTTGTTGTGGGAGGCTCCTTCGGGAGGCAAGTCGTTTCGGCTGAAGGAGATTTGGTTGACCTCAAAAAATTGCTCTGCCATTCTTTCTAACTGTTCAACCGTGGTCTCAATTGGAACATACGCCTCATTCAGTNAGCAGTAACAAGCTTTTTGAGGGGGAAACGCGTCTGCTTGGTTTTGTTCAATTCTTCTGGGTTATGATACTTCCCAGATTAGTTTGTTTCATTCACTTCCCCCTTAACTTCCTTCCCTTTATATGTGACAATTGTCTAATTGTAGTTCCAAGGGACGACAATAGTGTCTTTTATGGGATTTTGTGGCATGCGGGTAATGATCAAAGGCTCATCCATCCTAGGTGGAATGACTGGCCTCCGTGCCACGTAAGTCCCTTTTGGTACATACATTTTTGGCAGATTTGGCATGGCTTTCCTCTGGTCCAATCTCTTGGGAGGGTTTAACATGAGTTGTCCCTTTTGGGGGGCTCTTGGGACGTAGAGAATGGCCTCTTTGGCAGGTGTTGCCCCTGTATTTGCTTCCCCGTCCTTTTATTCATTTTGGGGAGTGGAATTCATCTTTTTCTCATCCCTGGTCTGTTTTGCCACTGCTTTAGGTTTCTTCTCTGGATTAGCAATCGCAATAATCGCTTTTAATGCGGGGTCGAATTCTTTGTCTTCATAGATCATCCTGATGACTGGCCCATTGTTGTGGGCTGGTAACGGGTTGTTGGTTATATTGGGGACTTACTCATCCCTTAGCACTACCCTCTTCTGTTCAATCAGGTTCTCAACTGCTCTCTTAAGGGTACAACAATATTCGGTGCCATGCCCTTCTGCCCCGGAGTGATAAGCGCATCTGGTACCTGGCTTGTAGGATGGAGATTCTGGGTTCTGTCTGTTCGGAGGTACAGGCTACAACAGGCCCATTTGGACTAATTTTGGGAAGAGGCTGGAGTACGACTAGCCAATGGGTGTGAAGTCAGCTTTTCTGGGTAGTTCATGGGGACGGGTTTTATATTGGTAATTATTTTATGGTGGACAGGGATTGGTGAGGAGGGTTGTTTCTTGGAGGTGGAGATCTGTTCTTATTGTAATGTTGTTGTGGCTGGGTGTACGGTTGAGTGTTCATTACTGCATAAGGATGAGGGTCCATAGCATAGGCTGCATCCTGGTGGGGGTAATAATGTTGCGGGCCCCTGGAAGGTGGACCAGAATAATCCCTGTGTCGCCGAGAGTTTCTTAAGCTCGAAGCCATCATGGCTCCCTCTTCTTTTTTCTTTCAGCTTGCTAAACCTCCCGAGCCGCTCTGAATGGCTTGGGAAGTGGCTCTTAGAGGTGATTGACTTAAGATGCGGCCTGTTTTTATGCCGATTTCTACCATTTATCCAATCTTAATGGCCTATGCGAACGGTTTGCCCATGGAAGACATCATGTTTTGAAAATAATCGGCCTCTTGGGCCTATAAGAAGACACTGACCATCTCGGTCTCATCCATCAGAGTTTTAACCCTGGCCTCTTGTTCACGCCATTTGATAGCGTATTCTCGGAAGCTTTCCGAGGCTTTGTTTTTTAGGTTGGTCAAAGAATTTCTGTCCGGGGCTATATCAACATTGTATTGGAATTGCCTTACAAAATCCCGGGCTAGGTCATCCCATATATGCCAATGGGATATGTCTTGGTCCATATACCACTCAGAAGCAATTCCCGTGAGGCTTTCTCCGAAATAGGCCATTAACAGCTCCTCTTTTCCACCAGCACCCCTCAGTTGGTTACAATATCGCTTTAAGTGAGAAATCGGTTCTCCAAGCCCGTCATATCTTTCAAACTTTGGTGTTTTGAAGCCGATGGGTAAATGCACGTGAGAGAATATGCATAGATCCACATATGAAACGTTCTTCTGGCCAATCAGGCCCTGCATGTTCTTGAGGCTTTGCTCGATGCTTTTCATTTTTCGTGCTATCTCCTTTTGTTTAGGATTCCTCATGGATTTCTCATGTTCTACAGGAGACTTAAATTGTGGGTGCTGAGGATAGGAATTTGGGGTAACCCGAGCGGTGTCCAATTGGAATTGAGGAGCTTGGAAAGTAAAAGTTGATGGTTCGAAGGTTTGTCGAGGCAGTGTTGGTTGTACCATGCTAGAGGCT